TGTGATACAGTGGTGGAAGAATAAAATTCACTCTTCCCGTTATTCTAATTGTTCCAAGAAAGCAATCACATACAGTATTTATAATTGTATGATTTTTGTTTAATAATAGAAACTAGTTGCATAAACGCAATTTATCTACTGATTTCGGTCACGTGGTACAAAATTATAGGTCTCGCGTAATTTGCTATAAACTCTGGAATACAAAATGGCGTCTTTCGTCTTGTTATTTTTCTGCGACTCGGTGTACGGTAAATAAAGTCAATTTTTTATGACCACCGTCATCATTTCACAGCGCAAATAGGTTCTGGTCATTGTTTGGAAGTAAATAAACATAGTGAGTACTTTCGAAGGTCTTAAAATGTGATTTTCGCGACGACCAAATTTGGCATGTGGATTTTAACCGGTATTCAGTCGCACAAGGCCCCATAGCCCTATGGGCCGGCCAGAGTCAGTCACGTAAATAATGCGGTCGGCAACATAGGGCTATGATTCCACAGCTACCGTCGTGGGGTGATCGCGAAACAAACTAGAAATATAAATTTTGATCATAGTAAACATGAGAATGTGTCATGATTTAGTTTTAACATGTATTTAGACATTCAGATTATTGACTGCTGCAATAGTCATAATAAACTACACAGGGGAAAGGGAAGTAAATTACTTATGTTGTGAATTAAAAACGCCATGCCCCAAAACATACGAGTGTGGAGAGTACTAATGCTGGACGTTATATATATATTTTTTAATTTCAGTTTGATTTAGCTGCAGAAGTTAAGAGCAATTTCAATTCACTGATGCAAGAATGGACACAACTCAGAGACACTCTGAAAGAAGATTCATTATTATGTCATCGTTGCGAATGTCAAGTATGTTTTAATGACATTAAAGCGCAGTGGTCGTCGTGCAGCGCGTGTTCGAATTTTATGTAAATAAACAATGTATTTTACACGCGTTGTACACGTCGCTATGAGTCCCATATCGAACAGCTAGTTAAAAACCACGTCCTTTAATTTATAGTTATGTTATACAGCTTTTCAGGGATAGTACAAGAAACACAATTCTCATATAATACCTGAATAAATACTGGGTTTAGTAGTAGTAGTGATGGTGGTGGCTGGGTGATTCAAATGACTGGCGCATAACAACATTTCATTTGCCGAGGCAAAGTCCCACTACAAGGGAGACTGTTACTGAGGCTATGTTCAGATTGCACAATGTTTTGTCCGTCTTTAGCTCTAAAACAAACTGTTATTTTTTTTGCTAAAATCAGTCAGAATTGAGAGTTGGTCCAATAAAATAGATGGGGTTACTAAACATTGCATCACGAGATTATTTATTTATGCTGTTGTTTAATTTGGAAAAACTAAATAAACAAAAACTATAATAGCATCTGATAAAATAAAGTAGCAAGGGATTTGTTCAGACATTAAACTTATTTTGAATTAACAACAAATCACCAAAAGCCAAAGCAGAGTTATACAGGCAGGTTGTCTTCTCTCGTTGTCCACAATTCACACACTGTACAATGTTCCATGCTTATGCCAGTTCTATATTTAGTAAAGTATCATAAAACTATATTTTCTTTTTCACCTCAACACTTATGTATAACAGGCGAGTAGCCATCTTGCTAAAAACAGAATTACTGTATCAAAACAAGATTTAGAAAGACTAACAACAGAGACAATGCAGCTGAAAGAATTCCTTCCTAAAGTACTTAGTACAGAATATATTGGTGCATTTGCTAAACTCAATGCTGCAGAATCTGGTGAGTATGTTGTAGAGGCATTGTAGTAAATGACCTACACTTTGAACTCAATGTTATCAGTTTTCTTTTGTATTTTGGGGCAAGACATTTTACTCCTCTCTACCATCTATCCTGGAGTTTATTATTTATTTGTTTATTAATTAATTTATTTATTTATTCTTAATCTCATTGAGCTAATAATTCACAATGAGTTTAGATTTGCTAAATGTTCTCACAAGTTTATATTTATCATTTTATGTCATATTGTTACTTTTATGATCGGGACAAAAAAATTATATGAGGTTATTACAAGGATACCTGAAAATATGCTCTAAGACAGTACAGCTGGAGTATCAACTGACGCACAGCAGCATACTGTCTGAGTGCATATTTTGAGATATCCTCATAATAACCTTATTATTATACATCTTTTCCTTCTAAGGATACACCATGGGAATGCTGAAATCCAAAATGTTTAGAACACAATCAGCGGACTTCTTTGTGTGGAGTCCAGTCAAACTCTGGTGGCAATCATGTTTGTTTTTATTATTAGAGGATGCTTACGTGCGTAATCATTCCATATTTGGAATTCGCATTTTCTAATATGGTAGAATGAAAATACCCCGTAAAACTACGGCAAGCTGTATTGTATGGCGTTACAGTGACAAATGACATTATTTGAACTGTCAAGCAAGAATTGATGAGAAACAGAACTATATTTTACAATTACTTGTTCAGCAAAGTTAACTTTTCTGAACATGGAAGACTGTAACACATATAAATCTTGACAAATGCAAACATGTTTAGTTGATCTATAGTTTCTCACAATTAATTCTTATCTTGATCACAAAAACTACACAATCAAGTGATTAACCTAAATTGACAAGAATGGAACAATTTTGTCTATTTCAAACTATTGTGCAGACACTCAGGAAGAGAAATCTGTTGTATCCAGGTTTTATAATAATTGTATTACAATACCTACTCAAACAATTATTAAAAATATTAACACTTATGCTCTGTTTTACATTTAAAGGCTGTGGTGTCTTATTACAAACTGGTTATAATTTATGTATCAATAAATTTTCATGCCATATTCACTCATTGTATTGTTATAATTACTCCAGAGATTGTTAATTTGGAAAAGAACATTGACAAGATTTCCAATGATGTTGCACACTGGCAATCTAGATACCAAAATACATTGTCACAATATGAACAAGAGAAAGAGGTAAATATAGTACAGTTGATTGTTCCACGCGTCAGTAACCAAGACAGTTACAGTATTGTCCCATATGGCAGTAACCAAGACAGTTACAATATTGTTCCACGTGTCAGTAACCAAGACAGTTACAGTATTGTACCATATGTTAGTAACCAAGACAGTTACAGTATTGTTCCATGTGTCAGTAACCAAGACAGTTACAATATTGTTCCATGTGTCAGTAACCAAGACAATTACAGTATTGTCCCATGTGTCAGTAACCAAGACAGTTACAGAATTATTCCATGTGTCAGTAACCAAGACAATTACAGTATTGTCCCATGTGTCAGTAACCAAGACAGTTACAGAATTGTTCCATGTGTCAGTAACCAAGACAATTACAGTATTGTCCCATATGGCAGTAACCAAGACAGTTACAGTATTGTTCCATGTGTCAGTAACCAAGACAGTTACAATATTGTTCCATGTGTCAGTAACCAAGACAATTACAGTATTGTCCCATGTGTCAGTAACCAAAACAATTACAGTATTGTCCCATATGGCAGTAACCAAGACTGTAACAATATTGTTCCATGTGTCAGTAACCAAGACAGTTACAGTATTGTCCCATATGGCAGTAACCAAGGCAGTTACAGAATTGTTCCATGTGTCAGTAACCAAGACAGTTACAGTATTGTCCCATATGGCAGTAACCAAGACAGTTACAGTATTGTTCCATGTGTCAGTAACCAAGACAGTTACAATATTGTTCCATGTGTCAGTAACCAAGACAATTACAGTATTGTCCCATGTGTCAGTAACCAAGACAGTTACAGAATTATTCCATGTGTCAGTAACCAAGACAATTACAGTATTGTCCCATGTGTCAGTAACCAAGACAGTTACAGAATTGTTCCATGTGTCAGTAACCAAGACAATTACAGTATTGTCCCATATGGCAGTAACCAAGACAATTACAGTATTGTCCCATATGGCAGTAACCAAGACAGTTACAGTATTGTTCCATGTGTCAGTAACCAAGACAATTACAGTATTGTCCCATATGGCAGTAACCAAGACAGTTACAGTATTGTACCATATGTTAGTAACCAAGACAGTTACAGTATTGTACCATATGTTACTAACCAAGACAGTTACACAGGGTTCTCCCCAGAAAAAATGCATAGCGCCGGGGCTAATTTGCATAATAATTTGCATATCTTTCCTTCATTGATTAACAGAACTTATTTACAATTATGAATATTAGTGAGCTCAATCACAGGGCAAATATTTTTTTTAATGGAATCAACACATTATGTTTCACAATTTAGAAGAGTTTGAAACATTCTCGAAATACAAATGCTGCAGACTAAAAACAAACACAAATAAATTATTGTTGCGATTTAATTGTATTGTAAAACGTTGAAGGAAACGCATTCAAAACGTTAAGCCAGATTTTAATGATAATGGTAATGCCGGTAGAATCGGAAGTTTTCCGAGGGGTAGTGATCATAAAAATTACATTACGGAAATAAAGCGATGGCGTAGCACATGTGTTGGCATAGATTTCAATTGAAAACTGCATGATGGCTTTCGAAAGAGGTGATTTGCAATTTTTAAAAGGTAAAATAGGTCTTGAAAAAAGAGTTTTTACATGATTCGCAATGATAACAGTTCAAATGCATTTTACCAAATAATGCAATAAACACGTTGTTTTTTCTTGAGTAGTGTGAACTGATCGTGAACTCCGCTTTGACCATGTTATATCGAGGTGGAATTGATTTTGAATAAATTTTAGCCTTCAATCTAAAGACTGTGTCTATCGCAGAAAGTATTTACTTACAAACAAAGAGGTGCTAATTTCACAAATTTGACTAGCCGCTACGTATCGTGCGACTAGGTCTACTATTGTTTATAAATTATAATCCTCAACTGGCAGGATGCGTGTCGGTCGGTACATAATTATAATAACAATCAGACAATAGTCCTCGTCAGAAGCGCTTCCGTGGTGGTCACTAAATTTGAGTGACGGTCGGGCCGACCGGCGTGGCGAACAAAGCTTTTTCACATCTGATATTGGCATGTCAAATATAAAATCAAGCGCCGAGGTGGGAACAAATAGCGCCGAGGTCCCAAGTAAAGCACCGAGATTCACAAGTATAGCGCCGCGGATCTCGGCGCTAAAAAGCCGTGGGGAGAACCCTGGTTACAGTATTGTCCCATATGGCAGTAACCAAGACTATAACAGTATTGTACCATATGTTACTAACCAAGACAGTTACAGTATTGTTCCATGTGTCAGTAACCAAGACAATTACAGTATTGTTCCATGTGCAAGTAACAAAGACAGTAACAGTATTGTTCCATGTGTCAGTAACCAAGACAGTTACAGTATTGTACAGTATGGCATATGTTCATTTACCAGATAAATCTGATATTACATGTATAAGGTTACTTGTGAGATATTCTTTATATATAATATTTTTATGTAACAGGATAAATTTGATAATAAAAGGTCACTAATGTCATATTCTTGATATGTCATATTTTTATTTAACAGGATAAATTTGCTACACAATGTGAATTATCAGAATTAAATAAACAACTAAGTGAACAATCTGAATATTGTGCAAGTCTGGGATCTGCAATATGTACATTATTATGGAGGGTATCAAAGCATGAAGACAGCATTCAGTTGTTCCTTGTTGGGGTAATTTAGATAATGTTTTGTCATTATGTGTATTGGTAAAATATTCTGTTACCTAGTTGTATTCCAAGGAAGCTATACAACTGTGACTGCATGCTTTTTGTCATTGTTTGTTCCTATATATCTTTGTAGTCTAAAGTAAGGGCAAGACTTCATTTCACTATATTTAATTCTTTGTAGTCTAAAGTAGATGAATTTTTAGTAATGGTTCATCATACTTTAGAAAGTTATATAGCAACATATCATGATGAGTTACCCGAAGAAGACACAGATGAAGCGCAGTTTGTGTTGGCATTGTCTGGAATCATAACAAGTAAGGTTTAATATAGTTACACTCTTATTTGTTGCACACATTCGGAACAGCTAACTTAAATAAAATAATTGTTTGTCATCTTAAACAAATTTTGCTATATGCTTGAATTAAGTATTTGAAACTGTTTTCTCTGTGTGGCAGTGAATTATTCTTGTGCTGCCCTGCAAACCACTTCTCATCTTTGTCTCAAACGACAAAGATGATATATTTTCATCAACGAAGCCCACATCACAGTGTGAGCAGCCACAAAACTATTGAGACTGTTACCCTACCATTGGAGTTAGAAGAACTATGAACAACTATGCGATTAGCATCTTACTATCAGACCGATCCTTCTCCAATATTGGAGGAAAACTCCACAATATTTTTTAATCCATCTTCTTCTTTACTGTGGATTAGATTCTTTCAAATGGTGGAACCATATTAGCTGACATGCTAGCTGTTTTCTGGAAGCATAAGTTGATTACATTACACTTTTTGTCAATTGGCAATCACTTGATGTATCACACTCATCACAGCGAGTCATGTTTGAACCCAGCTGACCACAGGTGGCGGCACTTGTTAACTGAACCCAGCTGACCACAGGTGGCGGCACTTGTTTACTGAACCCAGCTGACCACAGGTGGCGGCACTTGTTTACTGAACCCAGCTGACCACAGGTGGCGGCACTTGTTAACTGAACCCAGCTGACCACAGGTGGCGGCACTTGTTAACTGAACCCAGCTGACCACAGGTCGGGGCACTTGTTAACTGAACCCAGCTGACCACAGATGCAAGCTGTCACAGTGCAAGGCCTGCTTATCGCTGATGAGAGGGCACTCACAGAACTCACAATGTACAGGGGGTTCTTTCACTGCTAGAATGAGGTAGACAAGACAATAGTACATGAAATGAAATACACTCACACTAAAATATCAAGTTAAAGCTCCTAGCTTAAATACCACTCAAAATAATTACAAGAAATAAAGCACAGAAAAGTACAATGAATAAATTCACTAAAATAGTGGATTGCCCAGGGAGGTGAGTTATCACCTGCACACGCATTGGTGATAACTCACAGTTCCAGGATGTAGAAATGGCTGACAGTCAATGGCTTCTG